CAACATCATCATCAAATTTGCAGATGACTCCACTCTGATGGGGCTCATCACCGATGATGACGACACCGCCTACAGAGATGAGATCCAACGTCTGACAGAATGGTGTGACTACAATAACCTAACCATAATGACCAGGAAAACCAAGTAAGTGGTCATGGACTTCTGCAAGAAAAAAAAACTCATCCCTCTCCCCTATCCATAAAAGGTGACCACATTTCCGAGGACCTATACTGGACAACTAACACATCAGCCCTGGTGAAGAAATGCATGATGCAACCATACTGTCCCAATGCAATGTGTGCACACGTGTGTATGTGTGCACAGGTCTATGTTTGCGATCGGGAATGAAGGATAAAAAGCGCTGCCGTAAAAGCTAGTGTAGAAGCACAGAAATGACAGCTCACTTGACCGCGGTCTGAATTTTAATTGAATTAAAGAAGTTCAGTTGCTTTCATTCCAAGCTCCTTAGGCTACCATGACCTGAATGACTTAGAACCTACACAGCTATAGTTCAGTATTAATATGTGTTTATCTGTAAAATTGTCTTTTTACAGTGCATTCAGCAAAGTATTCACAGCATTTTGCTTGTTCTACATCGTGTAATGATACAGCCTCAGTCTAAAATTCATTGCATTCATTTTTTTCAACTCATAATTCTACACACAATACCCCATAGTAGCAAAGTAAAAAAGGTTTACTCGAAATTATTGCAAATTTATTAAAAATAAAAAAAAATTATATCATGTAAATAAATATTCATAACCTTTCCTCAATTCTTTGTTTAAGCATGTTTGGCTGCAATGGCACCTTCAAGTCCTGTTGAGTACAATGCTACAAGCTTGGCGCACCTATTTTTCTGCAGTTTGTCCCATTCTTCTTTCCTAGAGTATTTAAAAGTAGAATAGGAGGCAGAGCCTTCAGTTTTCAGGCCCCTCTTCTGTGGAACCAACTTCCAGGTTGGATTCAGGAGACAGTGCTGTGGAGCAGGCAGGATAAGGGACCCAAATGCAGGACTCAGAAATGGAAAGTTAAACTCAGAGCGCAGATTTATTACTGGGAAAACTCTTCATAGAAATGAACTCAATCAGAAACACAGAAATAGACACTAAAGTGTGCAATGGAACCTAAAACAAGAAAAAAGGAAATGAACCAGAACTAAGAGCAAGGATATTTACAGGAACACAAGGGGTGAAAACACGGAACAAAGAGAGTGTCCATGAAGGTTAACATCGCGACAATAAGCAGGGGTAGACTGAGGACTAAAATACACAGGTAGGATGATCCTACCTGTGTAGGAGGATGGATTAGGAAACAGGAAGAAACACAGATGGAACAAATCAGACATAATGAGATGAGAGAAGGCAAAACTAAATGCACTAGTGTAGGAGCAAGACTATCTAAATAAAACAGGAATTACGCCATGTACACACAGACATAGACTCAGAGATACAAGCTTAAAGCTATGATAACACTGACACAGTACAGAGGGAACATAAGGACGTGGGACCAGAACAGGCACAGAAATACAGACTTGGTACTCAACTGAGGGAACACAGAGTACAGGGACAGGAGTGACATGAGACACGACTGACTGGGAAACAAGAGAATAAATGAAAGGACAGAACTAAATCTAAGAACTAGAAATCACAAATCCAGAGGAACTAGAGATCAAGAAATACAAAAACAGAAACCAAAAGCCTAACAGTCATGAACCATGATGAACTCAAAAATAAAAGTACAAAACTCAAAACACTGGGTCACCCTGAGACCTCCCTTAGTTATGTTCTCTCAAGCTCCATCAGCTTGATCTGGGAGCATCAGTGCAAGGCCATTTTAAGATTTCTACAGAAATGTTTATTTGGGTTCAAGTCTGAGCTCTGTCTGGACTACACCTTTCTTATCTTGGCTGTGTGCTTAGAGTTGTTGCACTGTTGGAAGATAAACCTTCGTCCCAGTCTGAGGTCCAGAGTGTTCTGGAGCAGGTTAGGATTTCAAGAATATCACTATACATTGCAGCATTTATCTTTCCTTCAACAATTACTAGTCTCCCAGTTCCTCCTTCTGAAAGTCATCCCCATAGCATGATTCTATACCGTGATTCCCTGTAGCAATGGTGTTGAGCGTATAATGCACCGTGGCCGGTTTCTTCTAGACGCGATGCTTGGCAGTCAGGCCAAAAAGCTCAATCTTCATTTCCTCAGACCAAAGAATTTTGTTACTCATGGTCTGAGAGTCCTTGGTATGCTGTTTAGCAAACTCTTGAGCCTTTTACTGAGGAATCTCTTCCGTCTGGCCACGCTACCATACAGGTCTGATTGGTGGAGTGCTGCAAAAATGGCTGTCTTTCTGGAAGGTTCTCGTCTCTCCACAAAGCAACCATGGAGCTCTGTCAGATTGAGCATTAGGTTCTTGGTGACCTCTATAAGTAAGGACTTCTAGCCCATTCCTTCAGCTCCCTAACCGTTTGCTGAGCAGCCAGCTTTAGGAAGAGTAATGGTGGTTCTAAACGTCTATTTATGAATAATGCAGGCCGCTGTGCTCATTTGGGATCTTCAGAAATGTTTCTGTTCCAGATCCGTGCCTCAATACAGTCCAGGCTCAAAGGTCTACAAACAATTCCTCCTTATAGCTACATGTTATTTGTTTGTATTTTAATTTTTAATAAATTTGCAAGACTTTCAGGGAAACTCATTTTACTTTGTCATTATAGGGTATTCTGTGTAGAAATTCAAGGTGAAAAAGGATTTTAATCCATTTTGGAATAAAGCTCTAATATGACAAAATGTGGAACAAGTGAAGCACTGTGAATGCTGTCCACTTGCACTTTATAAACAGTATCTGTGTGTGTGTTTTCAGCTGAACCCAGGAGGGTTACCTCAGTGTGAGCAGTACTTCAAAGAGCAAGGTTTTGACACTAAGTTCCAAAATGGACGAATTATTTTAGTTCGGCGGGCTCGCCAACTTGCCCAGCAACAGAACATGAGAAAGAGATTGGTGAGATCCATTTTCTGTTACACTTTAATGCTTTGATCATTTGGAGACTATAGGTTGTGTCTAAATTCAGGGGCTGCATTCTTCCAAGGCAGCGAAGGCCAGAAGTTCAAGGCTGTGAACTTGGACGGTCTAGCCTACAACATGGGGTTCCTGTTGCCTGGCAACCATGACAGTAGCAGCTACTGCTGTGGTGGTCAGCATGTTCAACAGAAATACAGAAAATCTTTATGTTATTGTTTTTTCATCTGCATGTGAATCTGGGCACTGAGTCAGCTTAACCAACAATGAATCTAAGTTTAGCTAGTTTGCTGGAGTAGAGCATGAGACTAGTCTCATTTCATTTTGACAGTACAAATATAATAGGTCTCATCAAGCATTTGGTAACTTGCAGGATGAAAGCACAATTTTCTTATTAGAATCATGGGACGTACTTTCATTTTAATCAGAGAGAAAAAAAACTAAGAGAAATGGGAAACAGGACATAAGTTCAGGCGGTAGACCAGGTCATCTACTGATCGGAAGGTTGGTGGTTTGATTCCTGGCTTCCCCTAGTCCGCATGCCAAATATCTTGGGCAAGATACTAACCCTAAATTGCTCTCCGATGCATCCATCGGAGTGTGAATGTTAATTAGAAAGCACTAAGAAAATATGTGAATGCACAAGTTGTGTAAAGCGCTATGAGTGCTCAGAAGAGTAGAAAAGCGCTATATAAGAACCAGTCCAGTCCATAAGATCGGCATAAATGTTGGGCTTTATAACAAAGGTTCAGGTTATAACTAACCAAAGTTTGCATGACCCGATTAAGTAGCAATATCACTAACGTCATGTAACTTAGATGAAGGTTAGCTAAGTTTGATGTTCTAAGATTCTTTAGTATGCTAACATTTGTTCCACTGGATATTTGGGCGCCATGTTACCTGCCAGGTAAATGACGCTCTGCAACGTGGTGACATCATTCGGGGCGACTGGAATCGATAAGGGAATCATTTGCAAAAATGGCAAACAATTCCAAGGAATTGAAACAGTGGGAACCGGTTCTCAACAATAACCGGGTTTCGATACCCATCCTTAGACACCAGAGGTGAAGGGAGCCACCCGGCTGAAGAAGGAGTCCTATTGAAGGAGTCCTTGGTTCGCCTGTGGGACTTCGGAGGCAGCTGATATGTACTAGTGGTGCAACGGATCACGGTTGATCAGTAATCCGAACCAATCCCACTCCACGGTTCGGCACCCACGTGATCCGAAGATTCGAAAAAGAAGGAAAAAAATTATGTGTATGGTGCGTCTGTCAAGCGATAGTTATGGCCAGTGCTAGCGGTCCAGGTGGAAGAGCAGAGGAGTTTTCTGTATTTAAGCAGCCCTTTGCTGCCCAGTCTGATCGGGCTCAAGCTATTACAAAAGCTATTGGGGTGTTTAGCTGCAGACGGGAGGCCATATTCCAAAACAAGGGGTTTAAACTATGATGAACGTGCTTGAGCCATGCTATGATATCCCGTTGCACGTCCACTTTAGTGGCAAGATCGTTCCAAGCATGTATGAGCAGGAAAAGTTTAAAGTTATGGCTGAACTGTCCCAGGCATCTTCTGTTGCCCAACTACAAACGGGTGGACCTCCAGGGCAACGGAAAGCTATGTGACCGTGACAGCTCATTGTATCACAGCGGAGTGCGATATAATGAGCGGTATGTATTATTGTAGGGTCTACCTAACAATATAAAGCACCTTGAGGGGACTGTTGTTGGGATTTGGCACTCTATAAATAAAATTGAATTCAGTGGTAGAAACAAAGCCCTATACTGCCCTATATTGAACCATATATATTTTTAATGATTACGTGGAATGAGTCTTGAGTTGAATGTTTTTAACAGGCAAAAAATACTTCAGTAAGTGAATAAGTAAATGTTAAATTTTTGTCTTTTTTCTTTTTTTGCTGATCTGAAAATTGATCCGATCCGTGACTTAAAACCGTGATCCGATCCAAACCGTGAGATTTTTGATCCGTTGCACCACTAATATGTACCGACAAGCCAAGCGGAACGCGGCTCAGCCGGCTCAGGAGTGAACAGCGGTGCTCTACCTGCACTGTGTATAGTGCAGGTGGAGTGCTGCTGACTTCGACTGAGAAAATTGTCGGGCGGTGGAAGGAATACTTTGAGGACCTCCTTAATCCCACTGGCATGTCTTCTGTGAAGTAAGCAGAGTCTGGGGAGCGGGACGACCTACCAAGGTCCGTGGGAATGTATATGCCAGGGTGTTGGAAAGTATTCAGTCTGTCCTTCAGTCAAACCCGATAAAGGAGGAACAATGCGGTTTTCGTCCTAGTCGTGGAAAACTGGACCAGCTCTTTATCCTCTCAAGGATACATGAGGGTGCATGGGAGTTTGCCCAGCCAGTGTTTTGGCTGTGGGCATTCGACCGTGTCCCTTTGAGTTTCCCGTGGGGTGTTCTCCAGGAGTATGGGGTGTTTGGCTCATTACTACAGGCCATTCAATCCATATACAACCATTGGAAGAGCTTGGTCTGCATAGACGGTAATTAGTGGGACTCATTCCCAGTGGGTGATGGACTCCGCTAGGGCTGCCCTTTGTCACAGATTCTGTTCAAAATTTTTATGGACAAAGTTTCTAGGTTTAGCCAAGGGGCAGAAGGCTTTCACCTGATGGTCTCAGAATCTCATCTCTGCTTTTCGCGGATGATGTGGTTCTGTTGGCTTCATCAGGTGATGGTCTCCAGCTCACACTGGAATGATTCACAGCTGAGTGTGAAGTGGTGGTAATGAAAATCAGCACTTCCAAGTCTGAGGCCATGGTCCTCAGCCAGAAGGGTTGGGGTGCCCACTCCAGGTCAGGGACGAGTTACTGCCCCAAGTGGAGGAGTTTAACTATCCTGGTCTTGTTCACAAGTGACAGGAGAAGGGAGCTAGAGATCGACAGCCAGATTGGTGCTGCAGCTGCAGTAATGCAGGCACTGTACCAGTCCGTTGTGGTGAAGAGAGAGCTGAGTTTAAAAGTGAAGATCTCAATTTACCGGTTGATCTACGTCCCTACCCTCACCTATGGTCACAAACTGTGGGTAGTTACCGAAAGAAAGAGAGGTTTGTTCCTAGAGTATTTAAAAGTAGAATGGGAGGCAGAGCCTTCAGTTTTCAGGCCCCTCTTCTGTGGAACCAGCTTCCAGTTTGGATTCAGGAGACAGACACTATCTCTACTTTTAAGATTAGGCTTAAAACTTTCCTTTTTGCTAAAGCATATAGTTAGGGCTGGACCAGGTGACCCTGAATCCTCCCTTAGTTATGCTGCAATAGATGTAGGCTGCCGGGGATTCCCATGATGCATTGAGTTTTTCTTCTTCACTCACTATGTGTTAACAGACCTCTCTGCATTGAATCATATCTGTTATTAACCTCTGTCTCTCTTCCACAGCATGTCTTTATCCTGTCTTCCTTCTCTCACCCCAACCGGTCGCAGCAGATGGCCCCGCCCCTCCCTGAGCCTGGTTCTGCTGGAGGTTTCTTCCTGTTAAAAGGGAGTTTTTCCTTCCCACTGTCGCCAAAGTGCTTGCTCATAGGGGGTCATATGATTGTTGGGTTTTTTCTCTGTATCTATGAAGCGCCTTGAGGCGACTTTTGTTGTGATTTGGCGCTATATAAATAAAATTGAATTGAATTGAATTGAATAGATCGCGGATACAAGTGGGACAAATGGGCATCCTCCGAAGGGTGGCTGGCCTCTCCCTTAGAGAGGTTCAGCCATCTGGCAGGGGCTCAGAGTAGGGATGCTACTCTTCCACATCGAAAGGAGCCAGTCTAGATGGTTCAAGCATCTGACAAGAATGCCTCCTGGGCGCCTCCTGGGTGATGTTCCATCAGGAGGAAGCTTGGGGGCAGACCCAGGACACGCTGGAGAGATTATATCTCTTGGCTGACTTGGGAACGCCTGGCTGTTCCCCCGGATAAGCTGGAGGAGATAGCTGGGGAGAGAGGTCTGGGCTTCTCTGGGACACAAAGGATACACCGGACCGTCCTTCAAATCCGGGGAAAAGGAGGACGCATTAGTGGGCCGCATTTGGAGCAGCCTTTGGTGTGCTGTGATATAGTCGTCCCACAAATGTGGTCTCCAAAGGATGCAGCCCCTGAATTTGGAAACAGCTCAACTCATATGTTTCAGCTAATCAGATCGTCCTCTTTCCTCAGTGCATCTGTTGTTTATTTCCATCCAGCAGCAAACCAGCATACCTCTGGTCCCTGGTTACACCCTGCAAATTATTCCCCGTCAAAGGGCATCTCACCAGCCAGTAACCTGGACTGGCCTAGGATTGGTCAGAGTGTTCGAGGGGGTGGGGCTTAGATTTACTGTGGACAACCTCCCATCTTCGACTGATTACCAGCTGGCGATTTCCTATGAACCAGAGGTGAGGCGATTTTGAATGGTAAACTTCATGTGAATGTACATGTTTAATAAAATTGACAGAATTGTCTTTCTATAACTCATGTCAATTTATTATTTTCTCTAGTCTGCATCTGATTGGATGGCTATAGTCAGTATCGGCAAAGTGTCACCAGGCGATGGAGGCTGCAGCAGCAATCCAACAGGAAGTAAAACTGTGATTCTACCTGGAAACTCCAGGTGAGAATCAAAAAACAGGGCATCTATTACATCCATGAATGTCACATGACTATTGTTATAATTTCACATCTGAATAGTGTTGTGGCAGATTTCTAATGTGATATGATTAAATATGTGATTAAATCATATCCTTACTAGTAAGATTACTATACACCAACGACCACCTTAACTCAAAAACACAACTACTTCAGGCATAACAGCCTGATTGTTTAATCAGTTGTCATCTGCATTCATTCGCTGATCGCTCTTGGGTGGTACAGAGTCTGCTCTGCAGTCGCTGAGTTGAAGCTTGGCACGCCCTTGTTGGAGGAGGGTGCTCTTTTCACCCCTCACTCTCTCGTTCCAATGCAGCTGTAGGTTAAAAGGGCAGAGATCATCTGACACCCCGTTGTCTTCCTCAGTGTCTAATGCAGAGATCTTTAACCTTTATGGTTATTTCTGTGGTTATGGAATCTTCTCATGATGACTAGTAGGGCCCCAAACCGCACGACCTTTGATCTCAACCACTGCCTGGGCTGTCAGCTGTGCTATGAATGATCCCTGCTTCTCGCTGGGTCTCTGAAGACTTCTGATCAGCACCCAGTCTCAATCTCAGTCTGGAGATTCCACCCTTGGGATGATTTCTTCCAGCAATACTCTGGCTACTGCACCTGTATCTCCTTACTAGAAGGAAAAACCACAACAAGGTGCAATTTTTCACACTAGGATACCCAAATTCGTTGAGTTTCTAGGACCCTGCATCTACTTGTTGCAGTAATAAGTAACCAAGGCTTTTCCCATCTGTCTGGTTGAAAACCCTGCCCAAATCAAAGCAGCTCACCGTTGTAAATCATTTGCAGTCCGTCTCTTGGTTCATTAAAAAATTCCTGCATGTGTGAGTCGCTGAAGCACACCTTGCGGTTCCCCCTTTTTTAGAAAACAAAGGAACGGTGGGACTGAGGCAATTTTACCTCAGGATGGCCAGTCACTGCGTGCCCGTAGTTCAGCGAAACTCACCGGAGGAATCCTGCCTGACAACGGCAAATTGTTATGGAAAATTTAACAATTATCTGCAAAACACCCAGTGAGCTTGATTTGAAGTGGGTTTAATAAACACATATGGAGAGCGCATCCCAGTGAAACACCAGGACCATCTCTGAATTGTGGCCACCACCCTTACATCATATATACAGAGACACAGACAAAGAACATCCACAAACTCTCACATGTTGGCCCCTCTCACGTGGAGCTATACCTTCTCCTTCAGAAAGAATTATGACCTTGTTTTCTGCTTGGCCGTCACCTAAGGATTTACATCCCTGATAAGCAGAAGGAGTCCCACTATCTGTTTAACAGCCTCACTGTGTTAACGTTCCACATGCATGTAAACTATGGACAGGACTGCTCTTACTATAGTAAAGTGAGAAACTATAACTAATGTGATATGATTAAATATGTGATTAATACATGAGAAAAGAAATCTGCCACAACACTATTCAGATGTGAAATAAAGCAGGTTCTTTGAAACTAGCAAATTGTACAGGATATTGTACAGTCTCTGTGTGAGTTGTTAATAGAGGCCATGATCAGGTGGTCTGTGGGTGACATCATGTTTGTGGCAGAGGCAGCAGGCTCTGTGTGTATATCAGTGACAGGGCGTAGCTGCATGTGTGTGATGATTTAATAAACTTTGCAGCACTTTGTTGTCAGTCATAGTGCAGCTTGTGAACCATACCAGGATGTACAGAGAGAGGACTCTCAACAGAACATCTATAAAACGACAGCAGACAGCCAGCAGCTACAGCTAACGCACATGAGCCAAATGTTGTGCCTTTGTACTCCTGGTTCCACATACAGAGACATTCTTACACATTTTAATTTATGTGAGCTCCAAGGTTCTCTGAAGCTTTAATAGTGTACTTGTGTCAGAGATTGTGTCTCAGTAGCAGCAGTTTTTGTTTGTTTTTTCTGTTTGTTTTTCCAGACGAGGTATTCTGGACTCTTTGCTATGTCTAAATGCTGGAGGTCAATATTTTGTGGATATCACCTTTTACAAACAGCCCAGATCTGATAGTTCACACATCCTAATTGACTCGGTAAGGAGGTCTTCATCTATTCAGATAAACTGATTGACATATTCCCTGAAATCCTCCTACCAACAGTAACTGTCCAATCATAGCTGAGCAATACAAGCGCACTCTCTGTGCAAAAATAAATTTGGGAAGATTGCATGGTTTCAATTTTCAATTTTTCTCTTCAAAATTAAATGATGGGATGTGTCTATATGAGGTGATTTCTACATGTTTAATCATGCCCCCCTTTTTTCAGATTAGTCTTTTTAATAGAATCGGGTCAGTCCAAAATTTCTGCTCTCAGAGCGACCTCGACACTTTTCACTGTACTGGATTGGCTGTCAAGCCTGGCCCTCAGGAGTCGCTACCTGAAGTCTGCGAGGGACTCATCATGAGCCTTTCAGCACAAATCCACAAGGGAGCTGTCCGTAAGTAGTTGGACTGAGATGATCCAGGACTGAGACAATGGAAAAGATGAGTGTTTCATATGTTTATATCTGCGTTTTACCTGTGGTCAGTTTGCAGGTGTAATGTTATTGGCTCTACTGGACCATCCTGCAGTAAACTGGGTGGGTTTTGTGACTGTAAGGCCAATGTGATTGGTCGTTGCTGCGATGCCTGTGCCCCAATGACGTTTGGCTTTGGACCTGAAGGCTGCAAACGTAAGAAACCCAAACCAGAGGGGAAACACTGCCTTTCGTTTTCTCCCTGAGCGTCTGACAGTTGATTCACAATGAATTCTCACCTTTTTGCAGGATGTGATTGTGACCCCCATGGCTCTGTGTCAGAGCTGTGCGATCAGGTCAGCGGTCAGTGTGCATGCCGTTCAGAGATTACGGGTCAGCGCTGCAAACGCTGTCAGATGGGATTCTGGGGATTCCCTTCATGTCGATCGTGTGAATGTAATGGGCTATCAGAGGTGTGTGATGGATTTACCGGAGACTGTCTGAACTGCAGGGAGCACACTACTGGACCCAGCTGTGAAAGGTTAGTCACTGACAAACAATGGACTGTGAGGTCAGGTCCTTAATCATTAATATGCAAAGTGTCATGATCAATGGCCATGAGTACCATTCACAGAGAGTTGGGGAATGGCTGCAATCACATCATCTGGCACCAAGATGGTGACAGATGTACCCTTAGGCCCCCTCCTCGAGTCAGAGATGCAGTACATACTATACTCCATAAAGGTGAAGAACAGAGAGAATTAGACAAAGGGCTGGGTTTTCAGTTTTCAGCTATGCATCTTTTATCTGCAAGCAGATGCAATTTCAAAAAAGGAACCTGTGTTTACTGTAACTCAGCTGGGTTTTTTTCAGCTGAAAATTTCCCTCTGAAAATGTCTTTGCTACGTCTCTGAGTAAATTTATTTAAATTAGATTTACTCAGGAAATAAGTGTGCCAGTACTTACTGCTGAGGGTCGGTACCTGTTCAGGTAATCATGATAAACCTATTTTGATGCAGGTGTGTTGAGGGTTACTATGGTGACCCAATCTCCAGACAGGCCTGTCAGCCATGTTTGTGTCCAGATGTTCTGAGCAGTGGACGATTCTTCGCCACTTCCTGTCAGCATGACCCACAGTCCCTCAGGCTCATCTGTAAGTGCCAGGAGGGGCACACAGGTAAGAGCTAGTATGTTTGCGTTACTTACTTTTACCTTCTTTACATAAAAGAGGCAACCAGACAGCAGCGATGCTAAGAGTCAGTGTTTATCAGCAGATTTTTGGAAAGACACATAAAATATATCACTCTCCGTTTCCCTTTTAGGTGTAAGCTGTGACAGCTGCAGCCCTGGTTTCTATGGTGATCTGACATTGCCAGGTGCAGTCTGTAAAGAGTGTCCCTGCAACAACAACATCGACCCTGATGATCCCAACTCATGTAACAGCACAACAGGAGAGTGTCTACGCTGCCTTCACAACACAATTGGCCTGCACTGCCAACACTGCAAACCTGGCTACCATGGCAACGCCTTAACCCAGGACTGCAAAGGTGACAACAAAAACATAGAAACTTCATCTATCATCCTTTCATCCGCTTACATGTATGCAAAACCTCACCAAGTAT